CCCCGCCCCTAAAGCAAAAACCTCCCCAAAAAAAAAAAAAAGGGATTTTTTTCCCCCCCGCTATAGGTCATTTACACTTGCTGGAGAGACAGACAGACAGAAAATGAGAAATTACCCCCTGGGGGGATGGCCACTCAGCAATCCCTTCTCTTCCATCTCCTCTTGGGATTTTGGGCACACACGCACACTCCCCTGGCCTGAGTGTTAAGCTGCTGGGTCTGCGACTTGAACCGCAGTCGACTACGTGAGAATCCAGCCACGTAAACATTATGTCATCTGCTGGTCCCTCTTTTTTTTTCCAATTCAACTTTATTTATTTATTTATTATTTTTAAATAATTATTTTATTTAACTTTATTTATCTATTTATTTATTTTAATTTTACCGGGTGGGGGGAGAAAGAAAGAGAGAGAGAGAGAGAGGGAGAGAGAGAGAGAGAGTGAGACAGGAAGTCTCCAGGTCCAGGACTAGAACCACAGTCAGCCATGTAAGAGTCCAGCGTCCTTAACCACCATGCCACCTGCCGCCCCCTCTTTTCTTTTTAAATAATTATTCATTTCTGGGACCAGCAGTTGGCATAACGGCTGTCATTGGACTCCTATGTAGCTGACTGTGGTTCGAGTCCCGGACCCAGTGGCTTACACTCACGCTGGGTGCGTGTGCATGCGTGCCCAACATCCTGAGAGGAGAATGGAGGAGAAGGGATTGCGGCGTGGCCATCCCCCCTGGGGGGGTGATTTCTCGCTTTCTGTCTCTCTGTCTCTCTCTGTGTTTCTGGTGAGCGCACGCGCCCTATAGCAAAAACCTCTCAAAAAAATTATTTATTTCATCTTATTTATCATTTTGTTTTTAGAATTATTTTATTTAGCTTTATTTATTCATCTTAATTTGACCAAAAGGAACAGAGTGTGAGAGGGAGAGGGCGGGAGGGACGGAGAGTGAGAGGACAAGACACCGGGTCCGGGATTGGAAACACTGTCAGGCATGCAGGACTCCAGGGCCCTCATTATTATTATTTTTTTAACTTGATATAGACACTTAGCAGAGAGAGACAGGGACAAGAAAAGAGAGAAGGCAAGCCACCAGGTCCGGGACTCGAGCCCCGGCTGGCCATGTGAGAGTCCAGCACTCCAACCATCTTGCCTCCTGCTAGCCCCCTCTTACTCTTATGGGCCATTCCCAAACGTCCCCTGGCCTGCACTTCGCCCCTTCTCACCCCTCCACCGCCAGCTCCCCTCCCACCCTTGCTCCGTCCGGAGTGCCCTGCCGAACCCAGGCTGTCCAGAGCCCACTGCCACCCTGCTGCACTCACAGGAGGGCCCCGGCCCCTCTGGGCCCAGTTCAGACCCAGCACTCCGGTCCCCTCTGCACCTCCCCAAAGGCACAGGGACGCACTGACGACAGGACTTTGCATGTGTGGCCCCAGAGCTCCCCCCGAGGTACACCCTTGCTTTACTTTCTAACCTCCCAGGTTTTACGGAAACCTCCCGATGCTTCTGCCTGCCGCCCTGCTGGGGTACAGACCCACCTGCACGTGCTGGCCCCTCCTGTCTCTCCGCTGTGCCACACTGCCTGGCCCCTGTTGTCTGCTAGTTTGACTTCTCACCCAGAACAGTGTGGCACGGTGGCGCTCCCTGCTCTGCCCTGGCGGTGGGGTCACCTCGCATGGGCACAGACCACTTGCCATGCACACAGGACAGCCATGGAGTTCATTCTAATTTTTTTTTTTTCTTTTGCTGTTTTTAGGACACATCCACTCTCTAGGAGAGACAGAGACAGACAGAGACAGAAAGTGAAAGATCACCCCCTGGGGGGATGGCCACACCACAATCCCTTCTCCTCCATTCTCCTCTTGGGATCTTGGGCACGCATGCACACGTGCCCAGCGTGAGTTTAAGCCACTGGGTCCAGGACTTGAACTGCAGTCGACTACATGGGAGTTCAGCGATACAGCCATTACGCCAACTGCTGGCCCCAAGGGAGTCTAACATCCTTAACCGCCACACCACCTGCCAGCCCCCCAATTCAAACTTGGATAGGCAGGTGTGGTAGTGGCCACCACAGAGGACACCTCCGATCTGGCTGTGGCCCAGCGAAGGCAGGGTGGGTCCTTTCGATCCTGGTATCTGTAGCACATGCCAGGCTCAGTAAACTGAGCACACTGTAAAAACTCGCTTGCGGGGGCTGGCAGATGGCATGGTGGTAAAGCTGGTAAGGCACTGGACTCCCACATGGCTGGCCACGGTTTGAGTCCAGGACCTGGCAGTTGACTTTCTTGCTTTCTCTCTCTCTAATCAAATTAAAGTAAATAAGTAAATAATAATAATAATAATAAATAAAATTAAAAAAAGAAAAAGCTCACCTGAGGCCAGCAGGTAGTGGGTTAAAGTGCTGGACCTAGCCCCAGACCAGGTGACTTGAAACACACCAGGCGCGTGTCCGAAGTCCCAAGAGGAGAGTGGAGAAGGGGCTGCGATGTGGCCATCCTCCCTGTGGGGTGACTTCTCACCTTCTGTTTCCCTGTCTCTCTGGTGAGCAAAAATCTTTCTCTTGGCGGATGGTGTAATGGATACGTCACTGGACCCCCACATGGTCGATGACAGTTCAAGTGCCTGACCCGGTGGCTAAAAACTCATACCAAGTGCATATGTGTGTGTGCCCAGAATCCCAAGAGGAGAATGGAAGAGAAGACATTGTGGCGTTGACTACCCCTGGGTGTGATTTCTTGCTTCTTTCAGTCTCTCTCTCCATCTCTCTGGCAGGTGCACACTCCCGATAGCAAAAATCTCTCTTAAAAAACAAAACAAAAGGGAACCAGCAGTCAGCGTAATGGCTATGTCGCTGGACTCCCACGTAGTCGACCGCGGTTCGTGTCCCGGACCCGGTGGCTTAAAACTCACGCCGGGCGCGTGTGCGTGCGTGCCCAAGATCCCGAGAGGAGAATGGAGGAGAAGGGATTGCAGCGTGACCATCCCCCCTGGGGGGTGATTTCTCGCTTTCTGTCTCTATGTCTCTCTCTGTCTGTCTGGCGAGCGCACGCGCCCTACAGTGAAAAATCTCTCCAAGAAAAAAAAAAAAAAAAAAAAACCTCTCTCTCTAAAAAGTTCACTTGAGGGACCAGCAGTTAGCGTAACGGCTATGTTGCTAGACTCCCATATAGTCGACCGTGGTTCAAGTCCCAGACCCAGTGGCTTAAACTCACGTCAGGCGCGTGTGCGTGTGTGCCCAAGATCCCGAGAGGAGAATGGAGGAGAAGGGATTGTGGCGTGACCATCCTTTTTTTTTTGGGGGGGGGTGATTTCTCACTTTCTGTCTCCCTGTCTCTCTCTGTCTGTCTGGTGAATGCATGAACCCTATAGCAAAAACCTCTCAAAAAAAAAAAAAAAAGTTCGCTTGAACATGAACAGATGTAGTAGCAGAGCCTGGGCCCCTCTGCCCGCCCAGGATGGGGGCAGGGTGCCAGCTTGCCTACCTGTGCAGGTGTACCAGGTCTGGACGAGCCCCCAGATGACGGCGTGGCACCTGTCACAGGCCTGCTTCACGCTCTTGCTCTTCTCCTTGTGGAAGCGGTGCTCGAGCAGGACACGGATGTCAGGCTCCTCCTCACTGGGGTCCTTTGGGGAGGAGCGAGGGGAGGGCACGGAGGAGCCAGAGGCATAATGGCCTCGCCTCAGTCCTCCAGGTACCCCTTGTAGCCACGATGGCCAGCCCACTGCCTTCCCTGGGGTTCAGGCAGGCACGGGCCAGCTTGCACACCTTTCCCAGCATCCCTTGCAACTAGGTGCTCCTGGGGGACTCACAGGGAACAAAAGCCAATGAGCAGGACAGATCTCAGCCCTCCCTGGCTTCCTGCACGTCAGGTGCTGACCATCTCAAGTCCCCCAGGACTGGCAGGGGTCCCCATACCATTAGCTGCCACAGGGCCTGGATCGCCTGTGGAACTCTACATGAGGAAACGGAGCATCTGCTTCCTTCAAGTCACTGCATTTTGGGGTATCTTTGTTATCACAGCCTTACCTACTTCCTAACAGAAATTCCACTTCCTGAAATCCCGGAGACTCCCAGCCCCGTACCAGGGCTCAGAGGCAGTCGAGCCGGGGCGATGTTGCCGTGGACACACCCTGCTTTTGCCTCAGACCTGCTACCTCGTCTGTCATTCTCGGGACCCACCCCCTCCAGCTCACGTGGTTTCCAGTGGCACTGCTCCGCCAGCCTGCAGCGGAGGTACGTGACTTAGAACTGGCCAGTCGGTCACCACAATTGAACCAAGAGTGGGCCCAGGATTGGCCAGTGAATGTCAGGCCTGAGACTCACTATGACCCCTAGGGAAGGGAGTTGTCACCTGCACGGGGTTTCCTCCTGTGGAAAGGAGCGGTGGCTGGGCCACCTGCCACCACACGGGACAGCCCGCCTGAGCATAGACCCATGCAGACTGGAGCAAGAGGGCACGAGGTTCCCGTTGACGGCCTTCGGGTCACTAAGCAAATACTTTTTCTTTTCCATTTAAGCTACATAAGGTTGGGTTTCTGTTCCATGCAATCGCAAGGTCTAGACCAATCACTGTCTGGACGTGGGGCAGGGAGGCCCCAGACATCACCCTGCCTTCCCAGCCCAGCCAGTCCCTGGAGCCATGGGGTCCCAGTTCCTCCTGCTCTTAGCTCACCAGCGCTCACCTTCAGCTCCTGGAGCTTCAGCCGCAGGTGGATCTGCCGCACCACCGCATCCTTCTGCCTCTCGGACTGCTCGGGCAGCTCCAGGATGGCCTGCTTACACTCCTCGATTGCCTGCTGCAGCTGCTGGACGTCGGAGGCCAGGAACAGGCCCTGCCAGTTGGGGTGGGTGGGCGATCAGATGCCTCCCTGCCCCGGGCAGGCCCAGAGCAGACTCCAGGCCCCTCACCCTTACCCTCACCCTTAGCCGGGGGAGCTGAGGACTTGCTGGAAGCCCAGGAGAGTTACAGCACAATTAGGGCCCACCCACACGACCTGCCCCAGGTAGGACCTGTCCACCCACCAGCCTCTGAAGACTCTTTCTTTCTTCTTTCTTTATTTTTAGAATTATTTAACTTTATTTATTTTATTTTATTTGACCAGAGAGGGACAGAGTGAGAGAGAGAGACAGAGAGAGAGAGAGAGGGAAAGTGAGAAAATAAGCCACCGGGTCCAGGACTTGAACTGTAATCAGCCATGTGGAAGTCCAGTGCCTTAACCACCACGCCACTGTCAGCCACTGAAGACTTTTTCAAAAGACATCCTTCTTTTTAAAAGCCATTTGTGAGGCCAGCAGGTGGCGTGGTGATTAAGGTGCTGGACTCCCACGTGGTTGACCATGGTTTGAGTCTCAGACCTGGAGGTTCGCTTTCTCACTTCTCTCTCTCTCTGTCTCTCTCTCTGGTGAGCACACGTGCCCAATAGCAAACTTATTATAATAATACCAATAATAATAAATAATTGGGACCAGCAGTAGGCATAATGGCTATGTCGCGGGACTCCCATGTAGTCAAACGTGGTTCGAGTCCCAGACCTGGCGGCTTAAACTCATACCGGGCACATGTGTGTGTGTGGGCGTGCCCAAGATCCCGAGAAGAGAATGGAGAAGGGATTGTGGCGTGGTTATCCCCCCTGGGGGGTGATTTCTCACTTTCTGTCTCTGTCTTTCTGGTGAGTGCACGCACCCTGTAGCAAAACACCTCTTAAAAAAAATAATAATAATAAATTAAATTAAATAAATAAATGATGAAATAATAAGCCATTTGCTGGAGCTGTCAGGTGGTGTGATGGTTACGACACTGGGCTCCCACATGGACGACTACAGTTTGAGTCTCAGATCCAGTGGCTTGAAAATCACAACAAATAAAAAAATAATTAAGTAGCTTATGGGACCAGCAGATGGCATAACGATTATGTCACTGGACTCTCACATAGTCAACCATAGTTCAAGTCCCAGACCCGACAGCTTAAAACTCACATCAGGTGCGTGTGTGTGCGTGCCCAAAAATCCCAAGAGAAGAATGGAAAAGAAGAGATTGCAGCGTGTCTCTCAAATAAAAGTTGAAAACCAAAAGGTTTTCACATTTTTTGAAAAAAAAAAAAAATTGAAGTCCCCATCTTTTCCCTTCGGATGGAGGCTTCTATGGAAGAAGGTGCAGAGCCTGAGAGCGTACTGCAGGGCTGAGAGGTGGGGGGCAGGGCTGCCCTCTCCCGCCTGCCCTGTCCTGTAGCCTGTCAGGGTTCCTAAGAGCCCCAGATGGAGTCAATTCTCACGTTTGCTTCACAGGACCCTGGAGCTTCGGGGAGAGCACGGGCCCCAGGTTCCCAACACCAAGTCCAGGCTTTCTCCAGCTGTCCACAGACAGGACTTGGGGAGGTAAGGTCAGGGGGTCATGAGGGCCTCAGATTCGAGGTCCCCCTTTGGCCAGGACTGGAGAGACTAAGCCTGGTCGTAGTTATTCTCAAGCGAGGAAAAACTTGTCCCCAGCTGTGGGCCGTGTCTGAGAAGATGTGGCCCTGCCACCTGGAAGTACGGTGACGAGAAAACCACTGGCCCCTCCTAGCTGGAGTCTGTCCGTCCTCCTCCCTCCCCACACCCCAAACTCACCACAGGACGGGAGAAGTGGTCCTCAGACAGGCCAAGGTCCATTGCACGCTCCGGGCAGCGGAACTCCGGCTCCACAGGTGGCAGCTCGGGAAGGGTGTCTGGGGGAGGGGACGAGATAGAGCGTGGCGGCGGGCAGGTCAGCCTTTCCCCTGCCCTGACCCCAGGAAGGAGGCACTGGGAGAGGGCCAGGGCAGTCCTGCGCGTCTGCCCAGTTTGAAATCTCAAAGGGCCCCACGTTGTGCAGGACAGAACGGAGCCCCTGGGAAAGCTGAGGTAGACTGGGAGGGACCCGGTCGCTGAGGCCCCCTGTTGAAGCGTGTGAGCAGTAGGAAGGCCACGGGGTGGCTCCACGGAAACTGCAGGCCCTGTGTGGGCTCCAGGCTGTCTCTGAGCCTCCCTGCCCAAGGGCTCCCTCTGCCTCACCTGCCTGTGGTCCCGGGCTTTACGCCACCTGACCCAGGGGTGGGCCCTCGCAGACACCACGCCCTCACCTGTCCCACCAGATCTTAGCTGCAAGCTCACGCGTGTTCACAGAACGCCTGAGCTGGGCCCTGGCACCCCTGCCAGCCACGGAGCAGGGGAAGGCGTGTGCTCCTGGAAGGCAGAGGCAGCGACTCGGGGCGGCAGGAGAGAGGGGCTGGGGCTTGTGTGGGGGCCAGGCTCCCAGCCCCCACCCCAGCACCCACCTTCAGAAGTGACGTCTGGGGCCTCCTTGTCGGGTCCCTGCTCATGCTGCCGTGGCCCGAGCTGCTTGTTGAAGGGGTTGAGGTGGGCCTGCCGGAACCGGGCCAGCTTCTCATCATATTCCATAGCATTCCACCTGCAGCCAGGCAGGGCGAGGGTGTGTCCAGGGCCCAGGCTTGCGCACCCTCATCACCCCCCAGGCTAGCTTCTTGTCCTCCTCGCTCTCTCTTCCGTGGCTCCCACTGGTTCCCCAGGAAGAACCTAAAGTGACGGTCCCTTCCACACCCACCATGAAGGTGGGGCAGGCACATGAGTGCACACGGCACAGCCCCATCGCAGGCCCTCTGGCCCGTGCTAGAGGGCCCCAGCCTAGGGCTGCCCAGAGACTCCTTGCCAGCCCCATCCGGTACCAGCTTTGGTGCTGGCCTGCTCTCCTGGACATCGCCCCAGGACTGGCCTCCTCCTTGCTGGCCCCAGACCAAGGTGCTCCTTCCCATTAGGGTGCCTAGAAACCAGTCCCTGTCAGGGGCTCAGCGAGGGGGGTCCATGCCCGGGCCCCACACTGCTCTGCCACATGCAGGTGAACTCGGGTGCGGCCCATCTTCCCCAGGCCTCAGGAACGAGGTTCACACGGAGAAGCCCCCGTAAATGCAACCAGGCTGCAGGCGACTTCGGCACCTCTGAGGCCTGGGATCTGAAGCCACTGATGAGGATGGCTTGAATCCATTCTAGAGCCCTTACCCGGTAACGGTGGGAGTGCCGGGCCAGCTCCTGGTGGGGCTCCTCACCCAGAGCCCCTCTTAACCAGCTGGGTCATGCTCCTGAACCTCTCCCGGCCTCTGTCCACCTCTGTCGGCGGGACCTTCTGAAACTGACAAGTTCAGACCCATAGACGCTAAGCACAAGTAAGCTCTTGGTAAGGGCCGCTGCTGTCGTAAGATGCTAGAGTTTTGTTGTTGTTCTTAAAGAATTATTAGATTAGATTAGATTATTATTTTTTATTATTTGGCCAGAGAGAGAGAGATAGAGGGAAAGTGAGAAAGCAAGAAAGCAAGGTGCAGGCCTTGATCTCAGTCAGCGACCTGGAAGACCAGTGCCCTGACCGCCACATCACTGCTGGTCCCAAGCTGTTTTTCCATAAAGCTGTATGGGAAGTGCATGAATGCGGTGGTACTTCCTCTACCTGTTACCACTTGGAATAGTCTGTAACTACAAGGCCATCCTGTGACCGCTCCTGAAGGACAACCAAGCACAGAGGGGACAGTCCTGACAGAGGCACCGGGCAGTGGGACCAGCCTTCCTCTCACTGGCAGCTGAGTACGGGAGCCTTGCCTGCTGGCCACACCTCCATCAGCCTGTGGCAGGAAGGAGTCCCAGTTTGACAGGGCTCAGCCCTGCTGAAGGCTGCCCCTAGGGAAAAGTAGGGTGGCATGGGGGAGGATGTCTCCATGACTCACCTGACTCCCACTCCTCCTGGGTGACTTGAAGTGGGACACATAGGCAGTAGAGCCGGAGGCAGCCACTCACGCCCAACGCCTCCCCAGAGTCTCAGGAGACACCCAGTGCAGGAGGGTCAGGCTGTCCCTGGACCCGCTCACTCTTTTTCTGAGGAACTCTCATTTTGGATTGTCACAAGATTTCCCAGCTACCCCTGCAGTTAGCTGCCATAATTATGACTATGCTCCAACCACTGAGGTGTGACCAGGAAGAGCACCCTAGACTGAAGTGCTCCCAGAGGAGCTGCCACTTCAGCCCTTGTGCCTCCTGCAATCTCAGATGCAGATGCAATGGGTGGAGCTGGAGCAGCCGCTTTGGGCTATGGCATGGAAGCCATGAATGAGGACGGCAGAGACAAGACAGCAAGGGACTCCCCCTGAGCCCTGAGCCACTCCCCACCAGGCTTCATCAAAGTAGCACAGAAATAAAGTTCTATATATACCCCTGCTACTGTGTTGGGGGAGGTCCTGCTTTTTGCAATTAGACAGATCCTGGCTATCCCCTTACACCTCAGCTCTACTGGCTCCAAGCTATGACCTTGGGTGAGTGCCCAAAGCTTTCCTGGTTCTAATTTCTCACAGACAGGGCTGCTGACGGTACCATATGGGGTTGCTGTCCAGATGACGCTGGTTAGTACAGCACTCTGAGGGCACAGGTCAGCAGGGCGGGCACCCACTACACACCCGCTGCAACACTATTCTCACTGCTGCTTTTTTCCTAAGACACATTCTGGTTAGGCCAGCAGGTGGTGTAGTAGTCAAGGCACTGTATCCCACATGGCCAACCATGGCTCGAGTCCCAGATCCAGTGGCTCGAAACTCACACCAGACACAAGTGGGGATGTGACTGAAACTCCAGAAGGAAAACGAAAGAGAAGGGACTGTGGTGTGGTCACCCCCCGGGGTGATTTCTCACTTTCCCCCTCACTGTCTCTCTGTCTCTCCAAAGAGAACATGCACTCTGTGGCAAAAAAACTTACAGAAGAATAACAGTGCCGTAGAGAGTTATTGTCGAGATCACTTAACAGGGCATTCTGAGCACCCCGGCCAGCACACAGCACCCACTGAGTGCTGGGAACAACCACTACCACCCTGTCCCTTTCCTAAAGACAGGCTCTAGTTGGATCAGCAGGTGGCAGGGTGGTTGAGGCACTGACCCCACATGACTGGCTGCACGGCTTGAGTTCCAGACCCAGAGGCTTGAAAAACACGCTAGGCACATGTGCATGTGCGCCCCAAATCCCTGTAGGGATGGAGCACAGGGGCTGTGGTGTGGCCGTTCCTCCTGGGGGTGACTTCTCACTTTCTGCTCTCTGCCTCTCTCCAGCAAATGCACATGCCCTATGGCAAAAATCTAAAACTCTAAAAAGAGAAGACAGGCTCTCTCTCTGATGCCCAGCCCAGCCTCACGCCTGTGTCAGCGCCCGGGTGGCTGTGAGTACAACACCAGCTGCACGCACAGGCTGGCCAGGACTCGAACTCAGGCTTCAGCGAAGGACAGGACTGGGGTCAGCTGACTGTTTTCAAGAATCGGCCCTGATTTCGATTTGGCTCCCTAGAGATGGGCTACAGAATCCCATCTCTCTCTCGCTCTCTCTCTCTCTCTCTTTTTTTTTTTTTTTAAA